CAGGCCTGAGGGAGGAGGATGAGGCCTGATGGAGGAGGACCAGGCCTGACGGAGGAGGATGTGGCCTGATGGAGGATGTGGCCTGATGGAGGAGGACCAGGCCTGAGGGAGGAGGATGAGGCCTGATGGAGGAGGACCAGGCCTGACGGAGGAGGATGTGGCCTGATGGAGGAGGACGTGGCCTGATGGAGGAGGACCAGGCCTGATGGAGGAGGACCAGGCCTGAGGGAGGAGGATGAGGCCTGATGGAGGAGGACCAGGCCTGACGGAGGAGGATGTGGCCTGATGGAGGAGGACGTGGCCTGATGGAGGAGGACCAGGCCTGATGGAGGAGGACGTGGCCTGATGGAGGAGGACGTGGCCTGATGGAGGAGGACCAGGCCTGATGGAGGAGGACGTGGCCTGAGGGAGGAGGACGTGGCCTGACGGAGGAGGACCAGGCCTGATGGAGGAGGACCAGGCCTGACGGAGGAGGACGTGGCCTGACGGAGGAGGACGTGGCCTGACGGAGGAGGACGTGGCCTGACGGAGGAGGACGTGGCCTGACGGAGGAGGACGTGGCCTGACGAAGGAGGACCAGGCCTGAAGGAGGAGAACCAGGCCTGATGGAGGAGGACCATACTGGGCACAGCTGTCCCAATCACATGATGGTCCTGTTTGAATACACACTATTCATTCTGCAGATCTTTGTGTTCACTATAAAAGTGTATTGGTCTTTAATGTCATATTTGCTTTTCATTTTCTTCTGGCCCCTCGGAGAAAACGGTGAGGCAGTCATGTCCTTCAGGTGTGTCCTTCAGGTGTGTCCTTCAGGTGTGTCCTCTCCTAACCCTAATGACAAGAAACACAAAACATAGGACATTATTGTAGAGCAAGTGTTATTTATGAAAGAGGTGTGTTGTGAGACTCTCTCTTCACACAGAGGGGACACATGTCTCTCCTACATCAACATGTGTCCCCTCTTCTCCATGTCTCTTCTACATCAACATGTGTCCCCTCTTCTTCATGTCTCTTCTACATCAACATGTGTCCCCTCTTCTTCATGTCTCCTCTACATCAACATGTGTCCCCTCTTCTTCATGTCTCCTCTACACAGTGGCGTTTCTAGGTGTACAAAACTGGGGGGGGCAGAAAGAGGTCGGGGGAGAGAGAGAGAGAGAGAGGGGGGACAGAGAGAGGGGGGGAGGAGAGAGAGAGGGGGAGTGTCAAATTACATACTGAAAGACCACAGGAGCAACACTGTGAGCGCATACATTTACGTACACAGCGTGGGGATGTCATAGTAATGCACCTTCATACATGGAGTAAAGGTCACCATCACAAAGTAATTCTTAACAATAACAACAACCGTAATGCTTTAGCATTAAAACACCATAGACTGTAAATATAAGGAAAACACTCATCATCGAGGTCACAATATCAATCGATCCAGCAGAGGCAAAACACAGAAGATCAACAAAATATATGACATAAATGAACTTACCAAAGCTGAAGGCTCACTTGAAAAGAAAAGCGGCACGGCGGTCCCTTCCTCTGACAGAATGTGTCTATCACTTTGGGGATGAAGTCCTGTAGTTGCTGGATCAACTGGCTTTCAATTGAAAGCATGGCCAATGCGTTAAGTCGCGGCTGTCCCATGGTGTTGCGAGTGAAAGTCTTTATCCTTTTGCGGGTGGAAAAGTTCCCTCTCTGACTCGGATGTCGTCATCGGAGTTGTCACTATTATTTTGACCAAAATAACAGTCTCAGCAAACGTTTCCTCCAAGTTGTTCTCGTGAATGGATTTCAACAGAGACAGGGCAGTGTTTCCAGTGTGAAGCTCACTGTGGCGGCAGAGCGTGGTCAGCTCAGACTTCAACTTCTCCTTGTTTCCCAACGCAGGCCAGTTTCACGGCGCAGTCAAGCTCAGGTGTAGGAAATGACAGGACATGCTGTGGAAGAATGAGCTGTCAACAAGCTTTGCAGCGATCAAATGGTCACTCTGTGAGAACCTCTGTTCCACCTGTGAGATGACTGTGTCACAAGCCTCCTTCATCACCGGCGCTGTGCTGCTGACTCGTCGGCCTGGCTCGTCTGTTCCATCATGAGCAGTGGCGGCCAATGCATCAGTTTTCTGCCTCATTTTCTGAACATGTTCCTTGAAACGGCAGAGCGCGCTGTTGATCCCAGGTGCATCGATGCTTCGTTTTTGCAGAGTGTTGTATATAACATCCACTTCTGGCATAAGCAACGAAAAAAACTCCAGGAGCTGCATAAATGCTCGGTCCCGCAGTTTCTTTGACAGGCCGTATGCCTCACTTATGGTGACCGCATCCCATCCTGGTTGTGCGCGTATATGCTTCATACACTGAAGCAGTGCATCTCGGGTCTCCCAAACCGCGTTCACAGTTCTGCTTTTAAAGTTCCATCTCACAGCCGGTGGCCGTGGGATGCGTCTCTGTGTTGCCTCTGCAAGAGCTGCAACACGTTTTGGAGCACCGGAGAAAAAAGTGGAAAAAGCAGTTAGATCTGTAAAAAACACCTTCAGGATGCTCATCCTTGCTGAACACAGTTGCTGCAGGGTCAGGTTCAGTTGGTGGGCGTAGCAGTGAACAAACTGAGCGTTTGGGTACGTCTCCTTCATCACCGTCTGTACCCCGCGCACGTTACCCGCTCATGACGGCCGCCCCGTCATAGGTCTGAGCGATTAGCTTTTCTTTCAGCTTCAGGGGTTCCAGAACAGCCTTGATGCTGTTAGAGACCTACACCAGTTTTGTCCTTTACTTCCACAAACTCCAAAAAACGCTCTGTAACTGTGAGGTCAGGCATAATGTATCGCAGCACAATCACCATTTGCAATTTACAGGAGACATCGGTTGTCTCGTCGGCCTGAACGGCAACAAATGATGTGTTGTCCACTTGCTTGGCTATTTCCTCCCTGTACACATCATACATGCAGTCCAAGAGTTCATTCTGTATGGTGCTTGATGTCCCTTTGAAAACAAGCTGAGCTTCGTAGTGCCGTTGAAGCCTCACACATTGTCTCGAAAATTGACCTGAATATCCCTGGATTCAGAGAGTCCGCCGACTCGTTGTGGCCCCGCAGTGCTGTCTCACATTTCCCACACAGTTTAATACAGGTGATGATCCGACCAAGCACGTACCTGTTTTCTTCCACCTTCCTATTATGAGAATCAATGCCGCGTCTGTAGGCGCTGTCAATCTGAGCTGCAACATTCACCCTTCCAAGTAATCCCAATTTTACGGCATTTTCCAAATGACTGTTGCTGCTCTCATGCTTCATTGTCCTCTCCGAAAGATGCTTTAAGTCCTTGTAACCTGTCCTCGACCAAGTACCTTGATCTTCACCAAAAAGCAGGCAAGGAAAGCAAAAGAGGGAATTCTTCTGGATGCTCGCCGTTAGCCATTTCTTTTTAGCAAACCACTCAGCGTTAAACCCACGTTTAACTTTGCCCGCAGTCTGGACCATTTGGAAATCCGGTGGATGGTGGGCACCGAGGCGCTTTACCTCCAGTTTCTCTCCGAGACTAAGTGTCTCAAATGTGTGCTCCAGTAAATGGTCAACTTCATTCATTTTCTTTCAGTTTTTTACTTCTTTTAATCGCTGGGTGATGTTAGCTATATGCTGCTCTCTCGTCTCCTCTTCAAACTACACGTGACGTTTCGCAGCACTGCACACGTGAGTACTTACAGCCAATCAATTCTGAATTATGTGAGATGACGTATGGTGGGGATGGGAGCACTCTGCCCCTACGGTCATTATTTTTTTGCCACACACATTCAATAGAAAATACTCTGAGCATGCGCAGTGTAGTTTTTACAATCACCGTTCACTTAGACTGTGAGAGGGAAGGGCAGGATCGGGTTTTGTCCCACATGGCTCTAAACAGCTCAAAACGGCACTCTAGACACTAATTAGAAGAACACAGACTAAAACAGAAATGTACAGACGAATCAGATTATTAAACATGACCTTAAAATATATTTTATATGTTTTTTTATTTATTTTTTAGTATTTTTTTGTAATCATTATTTGTAATACTTTCTTCTGACACTAGGTGGGGCTGTGCCCCACCTGCCCCTAATGACCCGCCGCCACTGCCTCTACATCACCATGTGTCCCCTCTTCTTCATGTCTCTTCTACATCAACATGTGTCCCCTCTTCTTCATGTCTCTTCTACATCAACATGTGTCCCCTCTTCTTCATGTCTCTTCTACATCAACATGTGTCCCCTCTTCTCCATGTCTCCTCTACATCAACATGTGTCCCCTCTTCTTCATGTCTCTTCTACATCAACATGTGTCCCCTCTTCTTCATGTCTCCTCTACATCAACATGTGTCCCCTCTTCTTCATGTCTCCTCTACATCACCATGTGTCCCCTCTTCTTCATGTCTCCTCTACATCAACATGTGTCCCCTCTTCTTCATGTCTCCTCTACATCAACATGTGTCCCCTCTTCTTCATGTCTCTCCTACATCAACATGTGTCTCCTCTTCCTCATGTCTCTTCTACATCAACATGTGTCCCCTCTTCTTCATGTCTCTTCTACATCACCATGTGTCCCCTCTTCTTCATGTCTCTTCTACATCAACATGTGTCCCCTCTTCTTCATGTCTCTTCTACATCAACATGTGTCCCCTCTTCTTCATGTCTCTTCTACATCAACATGTGTCCTCTCTTTCTTCATGTCTCTTCTACATCAACATGTAACCCCCCCCCCCCCCCCCCTATCACCTGAATCTCCTCTAGAGCTCCATTGAGTTCTTTGTAACCAAATGTCTCTCAGAGGGGCGTGGGGAGGGGCTCCTTATTTTCATCTAAAGTAACAGACAGAGAATCAGCACTTTGGAAACAGGGCTGAAACAGAGGGGATTATGGGTAATGCTGCAATGATCTGTTTGGTGTTTCAGCCAATCAGAGACAGGCTCTGGATATATCTGAGACCTGTGATATACTGATGAAGAGGAGGATGATAGGGGACCTCTAAGTACTGATGCCTGCCTGCAGTGTAAAGTATATGTTGCACAGCTTCTTGTTTCAACATGTGGTTCGTGAACAGGAGGAACAGGAGGTGAACAAAGACCACAGAAGAAGACGGAGAGACAAAGTGTGAGAGAGGAGGGGGAAGAGGAAGAGGAGGAGCGTTCACACGGAAACTTCTGCTTTACGAGTTTCATCAGAGCAGGAAACTGAGAACACAACCACAGAGAGACGAGGCGACGAAGAGGTGAAGAAGAAGAAGACAGGAGGCACACAGCCTGGGGAGGCCAGAGACTACCACAGAGGAAGAGGAGGAGGAGGAAGAGGAGGAGGGTCGTGATGGAGGAGGACATCAGGAAGCAGGGGATGTTGTTCCTGCAGCAGCAGAGGTTCGGAAAGGTAACGCACAACAATAGATCAATATGTCTATCGTTTACTCCTCTCTGCATAGAGGGACGCTCAGAGGAGTGTGTGCTGTGCAGGACACACACTTAGAAGCTCAGCGGAGTGTGTGCTGTGCAGGACACACACTTAGAAGCTCAGCGGAGTGTGTGCTGTGCAGGACACACACTTAGAAGCTCAGAGGAGTGTGCTGTGCAGGACACACACTTAGAAGCTCAGAGGAGTGTGTGCTGTGCAGGACACACACTTAGAAGCTCAGAGGAGTGTGTGCTGTGCAGGACACACACTTAGAAGCTCAGAGGAGTGTGTGCTGTGCAGGACACACACTTAGAAGCTCAGAGGAGTGTGCTGTGCAGGACACACACTTAGAAGCTCAGAGGAGTGTGTGCTGTGCAGGACACACACTTAGGAGCCCAGAGGAGTGTGCTGTGCAGGACACACACTTAGGAACCCAGAGGAGTGTGTGCTGTGCAGGACACACACTTAGGAACCCAGAGGAGTGTGTGCTGTGCAGGACACACACTTAGAAGCCCGGAGGAGTGTGTGCTGTGCAGGACACACACTTAGAAGCCCAGAGGAGTGTGTGCTGTGCAGGACACACACTTAGAAGCTCAGAGGAGTGTGCTGTGCAGGACACACACTTAGGAGCCCAGAGGAGTGTGTGCTGTGCAGGACACACACTTAGAAGCTCAGATGAGTGTGTGCTGTGCAGGACACACACTTAGGAGCCCAGAGGAGTGTGCTGTGCAGGACACACACTTAGGAGCCCAGAGGAGTGTGCTGTGCAGGACACACACTTAGGAGCCCTGAAGGTTCAGAGCGTTCATCGTCCCGCTCTCAGAGCTACAGAGGAGAGGCTCCTCCAACAGACACAATCACTCTGATCACTGACTGCAAGTCAATACGACTTCACTTCATGAGACTTGTGAGCGTGAGTGTGACATGTGTGTGTGACGTGTGTGTGTGTGACATGTGTGTGTGTGTGTGTGTGAGTGTGACATGTGTGTGTGTGACTTTGTGTGAGTGTGTGACTTGTGTGTGTGTTTCTGACATGTGTGTGTGAGTGTATGTGTGTGTGTGAGTGTGAGTGTGTGTGTAAGACTGTGTGTGTGTGTGTTTCTGACATGTGTGTGTGAGTGTATGTGTGTGTGTGACGTGTGTGTGTGTGTGAGTGTGAGTGTGTGTGTAAGACTGTGTGTGTGTGTGAGTGTGTGTGTGTGTGTGAGTGTGTGTGTGTGTGTGTAAGATTGTGTGTGTGATGTGTGTGTGTGTGACATGTGTGTGTGTGACGTGTGTGTGTGACTTTGTGTGAGTGTGTGACTTGTGTGTGTGTTTCTGACATGTGTGTGTGAGTGTATGTGTGTGTGTGACGTGTGTGTGTGAGTGTGAGTGTGTGTGTGTGTGTAAGACTGTGTGTGTGTATGTGTGTGAGTGTGTGTGTGTGTAAGACTGTGTGTGTGTATGTGTGTGAGTGTGTGTGTGTGTGTGTGTGTGTGTGTGTGTGTGTGAGTGTGTGTGTTCATCACAACGACAATATGAGATGATGTGTTATTATTGATGTACAGACAGAAGAGTGAAAGGATAACAATAAAAAGACACACATATTTAAAATAACACAAATTAAACTCAAATGTTAAAGTTTATCAAATGTTCTAAAATCAATCTATAGAGAATGTAAAAGTCTGCTTCTGGCCTGTGTGTAATTTAAAAACCAGCTGCGTGTGTCCTCAGAGGCCTGTTCTACGAAGCCGGATGTTCTCTTAGTGGCTAACTTCAGGGTAACTCTGGGTTTCCGGTCCTACGAAGCTGGTTCTCTTCTTAGCGGCTAGATCTCCATGGTAACTGATGCTGAGCGGCTAACCTGCTCCGGAGCAGGTTAGGTTGCAGGCTAAGAGCTCAACTCAGTGAAAGCACCGCCTGCTGACCAATCAGAGCTCAGTGTGCGGAGTTTAAAGCGATCAAGTCATATTACAGGAGAAAGGAAATACAGAAAAGCTGCCGTCGCAGGAAAGACGGCCGGCAAAAATCAGCGACTGTGTGAACGTGAACATGAATAGAATATCAGCTCCATCTTCAGAGCAATCTGACTATTATAACATTAGCGTTAAGAAAGCTCACTTAAAGTGGACCTATCATGCTATATTTGAAACACATATTGTAGGGCCATATAGAAATGTTTTTCAAAACACCAAACAGATCCTGCATTTGAGCCAGGCCTCATTTGGCTCTATTTGCTCTATTCCAGCCTGTCTTCACAAGGGCTGATTCTGTGGCAAATGAGCTGCAGCTGACCAGGGGGCGTGGCACGAGCGTCATGTTACCATGCTGTTACCATGCTGTTACCATGCTGTTACCATGCTGTTGCTGTCACCATGCTGTTACCATGCTGTTACCATGCTGTCACCATGCTGTCACCATGCTGTTACCATGCTGTCACCATGCTGTCACCATGCTGTCACCATGCTGTCACCATGCTGTCACCATGCCACCCAACACCCCATTCCCCTGATAGGTGGGGAGTTGGCCATATAGGCGGAGCACCCCGTTTCTGACGTCAGAACAATTTCAAATCTGGATCAGTCTGTATCAGATCCGTTGCAGCCCCGTTTTTAGAGATTTGGGTACGGAGGAAAAGAGAGAGGGTTGTGTTTTCTGACACTTGGTGAGTTCCCTGGAACACCGGGGACACATGTTCATGTATACAAGACGTACACAAGTGCATTTTGTAAGATAGGTCTACTTTAAATATCTGCCACAACTAGGGCTTAAATAGTTAATCGCACATTTTTTATCTGTTCTAAATGTTCATTAGAGGAATATTTTTCAAGTTTTTAATACTCTTATCAACATATGAGTGGACAAATATGCTTTATGCTAATGTTTATTATCATTTGATCAATGACAAATATTCTCATGAATGTTAAACACAACAACCTGGAACCTCTCTCATACAATAATACAATTCAGTGTGTGTGTGTGTGTGTGTGTGTTTTTATGTGTGTGTGTGTGTGTGTGTGTGTGTGTGTGTGTGTGGTGTGTGTGTGTGTGTGTGTGTGTGTGTGTGTGTGTGTTGGATCGTTGGAGCTATGTGTAACTCAAGGCATATGCTCGAACGGGAGCTGCCTGGACGCTGCAATCATGTTGCGCACTATCCGTGCTGAGTGTGCTGACTTCTCGTACAATGTCCCACTGTCTGGCTTCCTGCATAAAGTCAAGTGCTCGGCGCAGTTGTGGCGAAATGTCTGATCACTACACTCCTTTGTTTTCATTGAAACAGCTCCGTATATCCGTTAGCGCAGCTAGCTAGCACCAGATGCCAACAACAACAATACACGTAAGGTCTCTCTCTCGCTCCCACACATACACACACCCTCCTGGTCCTCCCGATGGCCAGTCGGTGCCTGCCGGTGAGCGTGGAAGTGTGGTCTGTCGCAAGCGGGCAGCAGGAGCGGGGCTGTCAACATCAGCTTGTAGATGGTATTTTAAGGCCCGGACACACCAGGCCGATAAGTCGGAAGACGAAGCCTGTCCTGTCGCCCAAACTCAATTTGGTGTGTCCCGCACCGGTGTCGGTACCATATGTGTTCGGGGTACCATATGTGTTCGGGGTACCATATGTGTTCGGGGTCCGTCTCTTACCAGTGACGTCACGACGTAATGACGTCAATGACGTCAATGACGTCAATAAAATAAAATACTCAGGGGAGTTTCCTGAATTTTCATGCCCAAAGCCAAGCACTAGGCCCTGGGTAAATTAAGAGGCTGATCTGAGGCACTTTTGTGCTAGAAACTCAAGTCAGGCATCCCTGGAATCGTCTCAGAGAGTAGATGATCAGTGGGGCCTTCTTTTTACTGAAACATGATGTTTCGATGTATATTTCCATTTAAAATGCTAACCGCTAGCCGCAAAGCTAGCATCGCAGCCACTGCTCCGTTTTCGGATACTTTGCACACGTTATTCACAAACATGTTCACACGCTAGGAGTATGGGAGTAGTAGTGTAAACATAATTATGTAAATAACCCAAGTTGTGTTCTGTGAAACGGAAAAGGATTCTATGGAAACAACATCACGGAGAAAAAAGTTATATCTTATACATAAAGTAACGGACAAAGTAAAGAATGAAGTGTAGGCTTTGTTTAAATGTTCTGAATTTGACCGTGTATGATGGTCCTCTTGAGTTGCCGTACAGCCATTGCTCCGTTTTCATGTTTTTTTAACATGTTTTTCAAAAACATTGTCACACGCTAGGAGTATAGGAATACTTCAATTCGGTTCGTCATGATCTGTAGATGTGATTTGCCCCCGAGCACCCCTGGGTAAATTACCGTACAGCCAATCACAATGCGTACAATGCGTGACGTCATTGGTAAGAGACGGCCCCCGAACACATCTGGTACTCCGAACACATCTGGTACTCCGAACACATCTGGTACTCCGAACACATCTGGTACTCCGAACACATCTGGTACTCCGAACACATCTGGCACCCCGAACACATCTGGTCCACTCCTTAACTCCCGAACACATCTACTGGTACTCCGAACACATCTGGTACCGACACCGGCGGCCTGACACGCCTTATTTGGACTGCCTGACCCGATGCATGGCCGATTCAACATGTTGAATCGGCCATGCATCGGGTCAGGCAGTCATACAAAGAAATCACTCTGATTGGCTGTTCAGCTAGCGAATCAGTGCATGAGAAGCGAAACGGTTGCTTGAGAATGTCTTCCACAACACTCCAATGGCTGATAGCTCCAGTGCCGCACGAAACATGCTTTCGATGGACGAGAGTGAAAATGAAACGCACAGCTATTTGTTGTTTGTTTATATCACGGTCTGTTCTTCTTCTCTGTCTTCCGGTTGTTGCCTATTTTGAATGACGAATACACACTACCGCCGCCTGCTGGTACCGCACAACTAACACAGAGACACGGAGACACAGAGACACGAGACAACGAGACACAGACACAGAGACACAGAGACACGGGACACAGAGACATAGAGACACGGGGACACAGAGACACAGAGACACGGAGACACGGAGACACAGAGACACAGAGACACAGAGACACGGGGACACAGAGACATAGAGACACGGGGACACAGAGACACAGAGACACGGAGACACGGAGACACAGAGACACAGAGACACAGAGACACAGAGACACGGGGACACAGAGACATAGAGACACGGGGACACAGAGACACAGAGACACGGAGACACGGAGAACACGAGACACAGAGACCACAGAGGAACACAGAGACAACAGTAGACACAGAGACACAGAGGACACAGAGACCCAGAGACACAGAGACACGGGACACAAGACACTAGAGACCGGGGACAGCTTAGTTTACAACTAACATCCATGGTAAATGTTCTGTTCTTATAAATCTCTTTATGACCAACTACGAGTCATTCACCCATTCACACCTCAGAGCAGCACCACTTGCTCTAGGGAAGCTAACACACACACACACAAACACACACACACACCACACACACACCACACACACAGTCACACCACACACAACACACACACACACACACACACACACACACACACACACACACACACACACACTCTCATGATAATGGCTTGACAAAATGTACAGTTCGACTCACCTACTGTGTGTGTGTGTGTGTGTGTGTGTGTGTTTTGTGTGTGTGTGTAGAAGTGGAAGCGTATGTGGTGTGTTCTGTTCAGAGAAAGCTCCTGTTCGATCTCCAGACTGGAGTTCTTCGAGTGTAAAGACGGAGGGAGTGTGGAGAAGAGCGACAAGACTTTACGCAAACAGCAGGAACACAAGAAGGTAGTTATTCAAGTTGTTATTGTTTATTTATTGTGTTATTAAAGGAAGACAACACAGGTGACCACTGCTAAGCTGAAGGTGGCTAATGTTGGGCTGTAGAGAAACTATAGCACGGTCACATGACTTCACGTCACCACCGCTAAGCTAAAAGTGGCTAATGTTGGGCTATAAAGGAACTACAGCACGGTCACATGACTTCACGTCACTACCGCTAAGCTAAAGGAGGCTAATGTTGGGCTATAGAGGAACTACAGCACGGTCACATGACTTCACGTCACCATCGCTAAGCTAAAGGAGGCTAATGTTGGGTTATAAAGGAACTACAGCACGGTCACATGACTTCACGTCACCACCGCTAAGCTAAAGGTGGCTAATATTGGGCTATAAAGGAACTACAGCACGGTCACATGACTTCACGTCACCACCGCTAAGCGAAAGGCGGCTAATATTGGGCTATAAAGGAACTACAGCACGGTCACATGACTTCACGTCACCACCGCTAAGCTAAAGGCGGCTAATGTTGGGCTATAAAGGAACTACAGCACGGTCACATGACTTCACGTCACCACCGCTAAGCTAAAGGCGGCTAATGTTGGGCTATAAAGGAACTACAGCACGGTCACATGACTTCACGTCACCACCGCTAAGCTAAAGGAGGTTAATGTTGGGCTATAAAGGAACTACAACAAGGTCACATGACTTCACGTCACCACCGCTAAGCTAAAGGTGGCTAATGTTGGGCTATAAAGGAACTACAGCACGGTCACATGACTTCACGTCACCACCGCTAAGCTAAAGGAGGCTAATGTTGGGCTATAAAGGAACTACAGCACGGTCACATCAATCAATGTTTATTTATAGCCCAATATCACAAATGTTACATTTGTCTCAGTGGACTTTACAGTTTGTACAAAATATCAGTATGACAATACGACAACCTCTGTCCTTAGACCCTCTGTCCTTAGACCCTCACATCGTACAAGGAAACACTTCCAGAGAAAACCCACAGTTTAAAGGGAACATGGGAGAAACCTCAGGGAGAGCAACAGAGGAGGGATCCCTCTCCCAGGACGGACAGACGTGCAATAGATGCCGTGTGTAAATTGAAAAGATAATACATTTGCAACATAGGTAGTCCAAATGTTTGGAAATGCATGTGTGTATAATAGGAAGATGAATCCACGAGGATATCCATCCAGGACCTATGATCCAGGACCACAGCCACGACTCAAGATCCAGGGCTCGCGATCCAGGACAGAGGAGCGCAGGATCATCCATGACTCCGGATCCCGGCGTATATAGACACCAAAAAGAAAGACATTTGGGGAAGCTGGGTTAATGGGAACATGAGAGTACACAGGTATAGACAGAGAGAAGGAAGAAGTAAGATGTCCCCCGACAAACTAAGCCTATATCAGCAAAACTAGGGGCTGAATCTAATCAGCCCTAACTATAAGCTTTATCAAAAAGGAAGGTCTTAAGCGCACTCTTAAAAACGGATAGGGTGTCTGCCGCCCGAACACAAACTGGAAGCTGATTCCACAAATGTGGAGCTTGATAAGAAAAGGCTCTGGCTCCCATTGTACTTTCAGAGACTCTAGGAACAACCAACAACCCTGCATTCTTGGAACGCAATGCCCTAGTAGGACAGTAGGGTATAATGAGTTCTTTAAGGTAAGATGGCGCCTGCCCATTAAGGGCTTTGTAGGCGAGAAGAAGAATTTTAAATTCTATCCTGTGTTCTATAGGGAGCCAGTGTAAGGCAGCCAGAACAGGAGTAATGTGGTCCCTTTTCCTAACTCTGGTTAGTACACGAGCTGCAGCATTTTGAATCAGCTGAAGCGACTTGACTGACTTCTTGGTACACCCTGATAATAAAGAGTTACAATATCCAGCCTTGAAGTAACAAATGCATGGACTAGTTTCTCTGCATCGTTTTGAGGCAAGATATGCCTGATTTTTGCAATGTTACGTAGATGGAAGTAGGGCGGTCCTTGAAATTGATTTTATGTGGGCGT